TCTGGCAAAGAAAGCAACTCAGTTTGGAGTGAAAGTGGTCCATATGCATCTCAATAAGAGCAATTTTGTCTGTTTGTATAGCAGTTTGCATATTCTTCTAATAATGAAGTAAAGTATGTAAGGCAAGGTGACATTTGGAATAAAGGGCAGTAACATGAACTAGAGGAAAATGTTTGGTACTTTCTAATAGGTATATAACAGCCATCGCTGAAGAGAATTGATAATTTGTATTAGAAAGTATACTATAGTCTGTTCATCAACCATGAAGAGTACCAATATTTTCTGTTTTGCTATTAATTTCATTTTCTGTGGAATTTTTAAGCTACTATTTTTATCCAGATATTACTAGTGGAGATAATGCTATGTTAAAAAAAGTGAAACTGCTCTCAAAGGTTTTAAAGTGGAATATATACATTGAAGTGTTTCATTGGATTTGATAATTGCCCATGACTAACCATTTTATGCATGAATACACTAATAGTTCATTATATTTAAAATGTAAAATTAAATTTACTTTTTGCATAGGAAATCAATTGCTAAATACAGGTTATTTGAATTTTCTAATATTGCATCCAATCTGCTTATAATGCAGTGTGGTAATGAATTATTGATGGGTTAGTATTTTGAGACCTTTAATAAACAGGTTTGTCATAGAAATAAACTACTCATCTCCAGTTCAGATCTAAGTAGTGCTACTAAAATAAAACAAATAAGAATTGCTGCAAAGCTCTACTGGAGACAGGTGATATAGTCTCCTTTATCCAATCACTTGTTGATGGGCATTTGGGCTGTTTCCATGATGTAGCTGTTACATAGTGGGCTGTTATAAACATGGGTGTGCATAAAGCACTGCAGTATGATGCTTTCAATTTGGGGGGTATGCCCTTGAGGAGAATAGCTGGGTCCAATGCAACACCTAATTCTACTTTTTTGAGGAATCTGTATGATGATTTCCACAGTGGTTGCACCAGTCTACACTCCCACCAGCAGTGGAGAAGGGTTCCTTTTTATTCCCCCACAGCACTGCCAACATTTGTTATTAGTTGATTTCTTGATAGCAGACATTCTTTTTGGAATGAGATGGAATCTCAGCATTGTTTTCAGGTACAAATTCCCCATGATGAATGTGATCATAATGTATACTTAAAGTATACCAATAAATTTCATTTAAAATAGGTCTTCGAGTCTCAGTTGAAAACATCTCTAGTAGCCAAACGTAGGGCAGTCCCTAACTGGGGCCATAGATGGCAGAGTATTTCCATTCACCCATGTTTGGCATCATCTCAATGTTTAGTATCAATCTCAGTGTTTACTAAAATTTCAATTCAATTCATTTTTCCTACATTCTTGTACAAGAGGATTCCAGTTCTGTTACAAATATATCTTTAGAAAAGTTAGTTTTAATGTTATAGCTATACTATAAATTACTAATTTGGAACACTATATTATTAAGAAGAACATTTTATTGACATAAAAAGATTATTTTACTGGAAAATAAGGCAACAAACAAATTCCTTTCTCTACATGTCAATATCCAATGACAAGCTCATTTTAAAATAGGTTAATAATGAAAACTACTCATATTTTGCTGATGAATACATACTCTAAGGTTTTACAACACATACTAGATTGTAAAGGTGAAGAAGTTAGTTTTTGTTTCCTTGTCCTGAAGATTCCAGGGGCACACAGTATTGAGAGATAACCTTGAGCGTTCAGGGTCTTAAGATGCAACCCCCCCCAAAAAAAAAACTACAAATATGTGCCATGATTTCTGCTACTTCCTCCATTATCTTGTTTACTTCAGTCATCCCCTTATTTCTTCATGTGTTGAGATTTTGTGTTTTGTTTCCATCTTTTCAACATTGCAATTTGAAATCTGAAGGCAAAGAAAACTACTACCCAGTCACTTGCTGATGCAAAAGTTTTATAATTTCCTAGAACAAAGTTCTCTACCAGTTATCCATCCATCATAACCTGTGTACCTACGAAGAACTTTTCCCCCACTACCATTGCATCTGAGCATGCGATACCAATTCAGTGTTTTCAGTGTATGTTCAATGAGATCCTCAACTTCTATGAGTCATTATTATGTTCCCCCTTGGGATAAAGTTTTGTAATTCAGAGGCAGCCTGTGTGATCACACATGTTCTTTTATTTCCCATTGTTTCTTCCATCATCATTATAGGGTATTAACATAGCAACAGACAGAAGGGATACTAAAAAAAATTTCACATGGAAGTGGGTTACAATAAGGATAAGCAGATTGATCTCACATCTTATAATATCTTCCACTCTCCCACTCCATGCCTGTAAAATAAATATAACTACAGAAGCCTGAATTTGAAAAGAACAGTTAAAGCAGAGAAGTGTCCAGGAATATCTTGAAAGAGGTTGTACCTGCTGAGGGGTCAGCAAACAAGGAATGTCCCAGCTCTGTGGCAGCAGAGGCTCCCTAGGTGCGGTCATCTTCACATAACACAGGGCAAGAGTTCTGTACACCTATGCCATGGCAAGGCTTCTAACATTGACAGCACTGGTCAGAAACCATGTTAAAAATAATGAGATCGGAGGGAAAGACATGGTGAAAAGGAGGAAAAATCCAGCAAAGCATAGTAAAGCCTCTATAGGCTGTCATAATATAGTATAAGAATGTGCATTAAGAACTGTGAAGAGAAAAAGACATTATTAAAAACAGAAAGTGGAAAGAAGTTGATACAACTTAATGTATGAAAAATAAATAAGTTCAACTTTATTAATACTTTCATAAAGATGAAGGATAGTTAAAAGTTTCAGGCAAATGTAAATAACAGGATGACATGAGTAAGAAATATGATCATATAAAATAGAATTCAAGTTCAAAAATCACTGAATGATAAAAAGATTTGAACTTCTAAATACCACAATACACAATTAAGTCAAGTTATGTCTATCCGTGCACTGTTCCACCAAGTAAAAAGTAATAAAGCAAGAAGAAACCTGATAATGCTGACCAATTCTCAATCTAAGAATGGTGAAGTTTGGGGGGCAGAAACTGTATAAATGTAGATAGTATAAACATTACGATGCAGACAGATCAAATGGATATATAACTCTTTTAAATCGATCGTTCTTTCCATACTTTCAATTAGTATTTATTTATTTATTTTTGTACCAGGGACCGAACTCAGGAACTTGTGCTTGTGAGGTGGGCAGTGGAATCGCTGAGCTAAATCCCCGACCCTGTGCTCTCAATCTTTGTCTTCTTGGTACACACCTGTAGTGCCTGGGATCCGCCCTAGGGAGTGGATGCACGTGTAGACCACAGTGCGTTTCTCTTTTTAATCCCCTTCTCCTTCAGATCTCCTTCTCCCATCCTTGTCTAAATCCCTTTTCTCCACTTTCATTATTCTTTTTTTTTTTTTGTGCCTGTGATCAAACTCAGGACCTTGTGCTTTCAAGGCAGGCGGCAGAACCACTGAGCCAAATTCCTGACCCTTCATTATTCTTAGCGTATCTTTAAGACTGTACCAATACTCTCAATGAAAATAAAAGACATAACGCTTATGTTCATTGTGGGTATTTAGTATCTGTCCATACCTCAGATATGCAAAATATGCTTTATTTCCAAGTTTATATAAAGTCTAAATGCGTTTTATTCACTACAGTTGTAGCCATTAATTTACATAAAATTCAACAAGTTTTTAACAATAGAAACATCATTTTTTCCATCATAATTGAACATAAAAATGTTCTTTTTCAGGACATATTACTAAATATTTCTTTTATTAAAGTGGAAACTCCATTCTCAAAATTAAATAATTTGCAAAAATAATAAAATTTAAACATCAAGTTCTACAGCACAACATGTTATTGAAGAGAAAACTACAGGAAACTTCATTCTTAAATTCCTAAATTTTCATACTGCTCATAACTAAAGGATAAGAGGTAAATGTTTAGCTAAGAATGGTGTCAGGCGCATGTGATCTCAACGCTGTAGGAGATTGAGGCAGGAAGATTGCAAGTTCGAGCCTGGCCGGAGCAAAACCCTACCTCAAAATAATAATAATAATAATGGGCCAGAGATGGAACTCAGTACAAAGACCTTGGGTTTAATATTAGTTCTCCAAAAGAAAAAAATTAAAATACTAAACTCTGAAAACTAGAAACAAATAACCTTAATTTTAAAAATGAAGAAATTGAAAATTAAGTAAGAATGGGAAAATTAAACTTATCTTTGGTTTAAGTAAAGCAGAGAATGATAATTTGAGAGTCTCAAAGTCTCATCTTTTCTCATAAAACAATGTAGATGTTCCCAGTCAGGTACTGTCACAGCAGTTTAACTCCTCGAACCAAATAGTAATCACAAATATTCTACCACTCTCTTTGTAAACACTGGTCTGGAAATAGCAAATTTAAAATAAAGATGCAGGCACTAAGGCCTAATTTCAAATCCAGAGACCTCTTCAATTTTCTTGCATTCTGCTTATTTTCTTAGTCACATTTCCAAAACGTCGCTCACATGTATTTTTTGCAGTCTTTTTTTGATTCTTTCGGCTATCAGTTCCTGTGCTCTCTTTTGCTTGAATTCTCCTCAAGCCAAGGATTTTTACATTACCAAAGTAGTTTATTCACACTAGATGCGTGTGTGTGTGTGAGTGTGTGTAATTCCTGATGTCTGTGTCATATAAACATTTCCAGTTCATTCATGACAATCTCACCTTTATGTTTTTCCTTCTAATTTAGATCTTGTCTACTTTTCAGGACCTTTAACAATATTTGTTTTCTCTCTTCGACTTGTTTTATAAAATTATGTAGTACTTAATTAGCTACTCTTTAAAGACTGTCTTGCTTTGGGTGACTGCAGCATAACAGATGACATCTACATTTCTGAACCACAAGTTTCTGCTGTGCAAATAGAATCAGCCACCTCACAGTACAAATTGTGACTTGGAGTTCAACACCTGTCACTCCGAAATGCGGTTATCCTGTTAGCGCCTCTGCGAATGAACCCACGGTGTAGGATTCTATCCTCCTGATCTCTCCCACCCACCACATCCTCTCATCCAAGAAATCAAGCAATTCCAGGTATTCTAACACTTTTATGGTTTGGTTAAGCCAGTCGTGAAGTCATACTCGTGTTTTCGGTACTCAAGGGTCTAATGCAGGAAGATCGCAAGCCACTCCTGGGAGACTTAGCAACACAGAGACCCTGTCTTATAATAAAACTGAGAGAGGCAAATAGGAATGTAACTCAGTGAAAAGGTCTGGATTCAGTCTCTACTACGATTTGAATTATAATAATAGTAAAAACTGTTGTCCTCTTTAATGGGATTATCTCTTTTCCTTCCTCACACTAGATGATACTAGAGTAATTATGGGATTAGGATATGGTAAGATAATAAAAAGCACAACACCATATTGTTGTCTGTTGAATGCCATGGTAAGGCTGTTTCAGGAGTTGGGTGGTCAGCAGAACAAAAGATCAGGGACTGGGTTGGTTCGGATTATTTAAATTTTATTTGTATAACTTAAACTCTTAGAAAGACTTGGAGATTTTTTTGTCTAACTTGATAAAAATAAAATGAATATCTTTGAAAACCCCAGATATCTTGTTTCATACTAATTGTCTAATTTAGTATTCAGGTTGGATCACAAAGTTTTCTGGAAAATGGATCAAAAAGGGTAAATTAGTTTCATTACTAACAAGAGTTCTTAGCTAATCACAGCTTTGCTCTAGGCTCTGTGATTAAATTTCCTTTACATGATATTATGTTGCCTCTTTTTCTAGCCTCCGTCCTTTGCTAATTGTCCTTAATATATTATTGATCATTAAAAATTTCTCCCTAACCTTCTCATCTCCTAAATCTATTTCTCAAATCCAGTAAAAATTTCTGTATTTTGCTAGCTTCTTTTACTTCTACATTGCTACATTTCAAAATCTTTCATCAATTAAGCATGTGAAAAGACATATATTTAACACAATTTTATCATTATACCTGCATATAAGTATCAAAACATGATGCTCACCTATTGATATGCACAATATTTGTGTATCAAAGTAAATAAAATATATTTAAAAGTAAAAATGTTAAATTTCAAATTACCTTGTAAAAATATTACAGGCAAATTAAAACATCACAGTATCATTTCAGGGAACAGAAAATGAATTGGGCAGGATTCTATCCTCTGGTTAAGTATTCAAAAATACAATGGGTGATTCATTACTCTTATTTAAATACTCTTCATTTTGTTGCTATCCTCTATAGTGTGTTTTATGTTCAATCTAATGACACAGGTAACATCTTCCATCAATAGGATTTGATGCAAAATTTACATAGAAGAAGAGTCGTTAATCTGACAGTAAAATATTTATAATATAATTTCTAGTTATCCCAATTTTTGATCGCCATGAACAGGGATGTCAATTTTAGAATAATTTACAAATGTGTGCAAATATGTATTATCACTATTATTGAAATGAGAATCACTACGTCATGAACTCGTGTATGAAACACATCCGTTGTCAATGTTACATTAAAAGGGCTGCCATTTTAATGTGATGTACATTATTTATAACACCAATCTCTCATTATTTCATTCTGACTTTTCATTTTTTCATTTCTCCGTTTTGAATCCTTCACAAGACCCAGATACAGAAAATTGAAGTCTGCTTGGAAATATTTCAGTATAATGCTTTCATTTATAGTTGAAACACGGAAACAGATCAGTGACATGGATTCTCCTGAGTGAAAATGATTTTAGTAGCTGAAATGTTTTGAGCATATACGCCTTTATTATTTTGGGGCATTGTGCTCTCTGTAGCATATAAGCCTTTTATTCGCCTTTCAGCACACAGACGGAGAGTCCACAGGCTCATTCCTCCTCCCCTCTAGCCAGTATGTATTCTGCTTCATTAAAAATTATTTCATAGTATTTTACTACTGCATGAACTACTGGATGTCTACATTATTAGATTTGCCCAAAATACATCACACCTACTATTAAATGTGAACGTTATTTCTACTGAAGAGCTACTGGAATGCTGTATGAAAAATATCCTTATCTAAAATAATAATAAGTGGAGGAATTACATTAGCACACATTATACATTAATATCAATTGGGTACATGTCCTACAATTATTTTAAGAAATTAAATACTTGTTTAGAAGTAAAATGACCCATTAAAGTACAACTGTAATAAAATACCTAAGTTGTACTTTAGTTAATAATTTTAATGTAATTTTAGCAACATAAAAAATAGTCATTTGCTATATTTGCCCTGTAGAATAAGAAATCCACAAAACTATATATAATCATGAATACACTTTCATAAAATGGTAAATGTAATAATACACAAAAGTTTTGAGCACAAAATGTTTATTGAAACAAAATATTCCATTCTAAAACTATGTTCAATATTACTGTTTTTATTCTCTTAGGCATTGCTTCTACTGTGACCTGGCTTTAGACTTGAATATGTACAAACATACTGAACCATTTTACCCCCTCTGTCATATTATCTGTCTTTTTTTGGGGGGTGGGTACTGGGTATCGAACTCGGGTCCTTACGCTTGTGAGGCAGGGGCCAGAACCACTGAGCTAAATCCCCAGCCCCTATATTGTCAGTCTTATCAGCATGTTTAAATTCGATTTTTTAAAATATTTGTTCCAATTCCCATATCACTCCATTTTTCTGAAGTAAGTATTCACAGATCATTATTTACTCTTTGCATCTTTCTCTTCATAAAATAAAGCATGCTGTATATTTTAGAGGAATATATCAACTTGTGCTTCAATATTATGAAAGAAATGTGAAAAGAAAATGCTCAAAATATCTTATCCAATGTTAGCACATGATATTGTTTGTTTTTATGCACATCGGCCTGCAGTCACATATTCCAGTGCTTTCTGAAGAATGGCATATGGGTTAGCATCTTATTCCTATTCTCCAAGTGTTTCAGCACCTAGCAAGAGTATGCCTATTCATAAAGAGTGGATTAACGTACTCACTGCTGTTTAAATTAGTATTATATATTTTATACCATGACATGTTATGAATTAAAGAAATTTCAATTGAAAATATGCGAACAAAGCCATTTTAAAAAACAGTGCAATCTTCTTCCACCTTCCTCTATCTGTCCAGATTTTTCTTTCCTGGAGTCAGTTCTAACTTTGAATACTTGTGCAGAATTTCAGACTTGAGATGTGTCATAATGATTTCACCTAGTTTCCTATGCTAGAATTCCTCCCTCTAAGTCTTCTCCCTTGGTTCTAAATGGCTTTTGTGATGGTTTCTATGGATTAGAATAAAGTTTAAGTGATTCTGTGCTGTCTTCTCTTTCCTCTCTCTTCTGCTTCTTCCCACACCCACTTTCTCTTTTTCCACTTCTCTGTCCCTCATCTGTCTCTCTTGCTCTCCATTTCTTTTGGATTTGGAAGACTATATTTAGAAAGAACATTTATAAGGAAGATTAACAGGAGAATGATTTTCAACATCCAATATCAATGCTAAAAAGAAGTTATTATTATTATTAATTATTATTATTATTATTATTATTATTATTTTGATTTTTTGAGACAGGGCCTCACCATGTAGTTGAGACTGACCTGAAACTCACTTTGTAGCCCAGGTTGGTCTCGAACTCACAGCAATCCCCCTGCCTCAGGCTCCCATGTGCTGGGATTACAGGCCTGCTCCTGGCAAAAGAAATTATTCTTGAATGCTTTGCAACAAAATTTTCATGTTGTTTTGGTATTGTACTAATATGTGATCTCTTCTTTCTAAAAAGTTCAATTGAAATACGCTAAAATTGGATAACTATGCAATTATTACTAAAATTCATCCAAACTGAATATTTTTAAGGAAACATAGTATTTCTGATTTATTTCATAAGGACTTTAAAGTGATGTTAAACAAGTTATTGAAATAGAAGAAGCAGTGGTCACAAATGGATATATTGATTTAAAAATTATGAAATTTGAGTTGAGATTTTAGAGACTTAAGGCTATGAAGCAATAAGCAGACAGAAAAGAAATGATGAAAGGCTAAGTTGTTTGAATCAAAGTAATTTACAATGTTAGTTTTAGTACCATGTTACCTGAACACTATTCAGACTATTTTGAACACTCTTACTATTTTGAAAAATAATATTTTTTCTTCCAACAAGCACCTAATAGAGTATAGTTTTGTTCTGAGACTGAACGAAAATAACTGTGTTTTTAAATAAATGTCATTAAACAGGTGAAAAAATAAATAAAAAGGTCAGAAAAAGAACATCATATCCAAAGCATGTGAGCAACTTTATTTTGATAAATGACTGCTCGCCTTCCTTGGGAGTTGCAATGTTTTTCAGAGGTGAGTTACAATTCTCCTGCCTGTCTTGGAATCGTCACTGTTCATTTAAACTACATGCTTTATAACTCTGTCAACTTACCTGAAGGGTACTTCTGCTGCAGAGCTATACACTGAGGCAAAAATCAATCTTCCTAATGGTGAGGTGACTATACCACCTCAGTTGGCTTTACAGGTTATTTAATATAAACATATTTGTTCTCATTAAGAGTCATCTTTCCTGAAAACAAGAAAGAAATTTTCCCTATAAATCTGAAGCTAATTTATCCAGTGTACTATCTATATGTGCAGGTGTAAGACAACCCAAAATGTCATTTCTAAAACAAAATTATATATAAAGGAGATAGGCTAACTTATTTTTTTCTTAACACAGTATTAGATGATCTATCATATTGCAATGAAGCCAAAACTGCCCTTGAGTGTTTTGTTTACTTAGAAGAATCTGCATACAATATGAATATATAAACAATATGCAATCCTTATTGTGTTGACATGCATCTGACTAGTACAGAAGGAAATTGTGATTCATATTTGTCTATTAGTTTTCCCTGTTTTGTAAAATTAGGTATGAATAAACTAAGAATGTACATTTGGGATAAACATTAGATCAAATATGCATTTTAACTTTATTTACTGATCTTCATCGATGTTACTACTATTGCTACCTAGCCAGTTTTCTTACAAATTTATTCTTACCAGAAATGGAGTAAAAAACTGGAACACAATGTGAATAGATCAATGAAAATATGTATGATCTGCTGATATTCACACTCTCACTTTTGTAAACTGATCAATGTCATGATTTTCAATTCTGAAAACAACCTGTAATCACAAGAATAGCAGCAAAATTTTTATAATAAATATCACATTACTTAAATTAGCTAAGTAATTTTCATCATCTTTATAAATTTGAGAAAGTTTGTTTTATTAGTGTGTAGCTTTATTTTTCCTATTTGTAATTTTTGTATTTCTATCATTAATTTATGTGAAAAAATTTAAAAGAACTATCTGTAAATAGATGTTCCTTTGCTATGTCAGGAAAATTTTTACCATATTTTCTTTTTTTTTTCCTCATTGAGTATATTTGGTACATTTTAGGTATACAGTACAGTTACATTCATCATTGGGATCTTGTACCTTTACGTGACAGGTCTTGGTTCTTGTTTTTTCCCCTTGTTCCTGCCCTCACTTCACCCCCTCCTCCCCTCCCCTTTTACAAAGATTTTATTTCCATTTTTTCATTTTCTCCTATTTGTTTTCTTTCCCTTGTTACCTTTCCCCTACCCTTCCCACTTTCCCTACATCTTTAACCCTTTTCTTACTATTTCACATTGTCAATTGTCTCGTTAGGATCTTATGAACTATTATAGTTTTTCACACAACAGAAACTATTCAGTATTTACACATGTGTGACTTACTTATTTCACTAGGAGTGTATCCTCAATATGTATCCATTTTCTTATGAATGAATCTAATTTCTCATTCGTTATGGCTGAACAGTATTACATTTTATAGAAAAAACCACATCTTCTTTATCCAGTCTCCGACTGATGGGCAAATGGGCCGTTTCCAAGTTTTAGCTATTACAAACTGTGCTATCAACATAGGTGTGCATATATCTCTGTGATATGATTCTTTTAATTCTTTTGGAAAGATACCCAGGAGAGGGATGGCTGGGTCAAATGGAACCTCTAGTCCCAGCTCTTTGAGGTATCTCCATATTGATTTCCATAGTAGTTGCAACAGTCTGCACTTACACTAACAATGGAGAAGGGTTCCTTTCTCCCCACAACCCTGCCAAACATTTGTTATTGGTTGATTTCTTGCTAATAGCCATTCTTTGTGGGGTGAGAAGGAATGTGAGTGTTGTTTTCATCTGCATCTCTCAAATGAGCAGTGATGTGGAACATTTTTTCATATATTTACTTGCTGCTTTTACTTCTTTGTCTGAGAAATGTCTGTTCATTTCAGATGCCCATTTTTGAATTGGGCCTTTACATTTGGGGGGGCTGATTGTTTTGAGTTCTTTATATATTCTAGATAATATTCCTTTGTCTGAGGAAAAAGGAAAGAAAAGGCTCAGATTCATGCAATCAGGAATGAAAAAGGTGACATCACAACAGACCCAACAGAAATCCAGTTAATACCTATTTTGAGAAACTGTACTCAAATAAAATGGAAAACACAGAAGAAATAGATTTCTAGATTCTTAATGAATTACCAAAATTGAGCAAAGAAGATTAAAAACATTTTAAACACCCCAATTACAATCAGTGAAATTGAAAATGTAATAAAAAAATTACCAACAAAGAAAAGCCCATGTCCTGATGGATTCACTGCTGAATTTTACAAGACATTTAGAGAAGAACAACTGCCATTACTCTTCAAACTTTTCAATGAAATTGAAAGGGAAGCTATACTTCCAAATTCATTCCTAGAAGCAAGTATCACTTTGATTCCCAAACCAGGGAAAGAGGCAACTAAAAAAGAGAACTACAGACCAAACTCCTTAATGAATATAGATGCAAAAATCCTTAATAAGATGCTAGCAAACAGAATACAGAGGATCATCAAGATCATACATCCTATCCAAGTCGGATTTATTCCATGGATGCAAGGATGGTTCAACTTACATAAACCAATAAATTTAATACACTATATTAACACAGTGAAGGACAAAAAACATATAGATAGATATGATAGATAGATGCAGAAAAAGCATTTGACAAAATTCAACACCCATTCATGATAAAAACACTGCAAAAAATTTGTATAGATGGTCTATATCTCAACTTTATAAAGACTATCTAGAAAAACCAACAGCCAACATCATATTAAATGGCAAAAAACTGAAAACCTTCATGTTAAAATCAGGAACAAGACAAGGATGCCCCTTATTACCATATTTTCATTTCTATAAAATATATACAATATGTAAAAACAGGAAACCATACTAATTATATTCTAAGAATTGTCAGTGATGGAAAGCATTAATTAATTAAAAGAAAAAGACCATATTTTAAAATAAAGAATAAAATGTACCCAAGCCAAAATCATACCAAAATCATACTACAATCTATGAGTACTTATGGTCAGAATTAGTTTTGTTGCTAATCATATGAATGTTAATTTAGTTAAAGTTGGAATTAATTAATATTCTTCAACCCTGATAAGTACAGTCTTTATTTTCAGTTAACACTTGAAAGCATATTACTTAACTTTAAAAATTATCAAAAATATTTACAAAAAGGAAAGAGCATAATTTACTTATATATATATATGTGTGTGTGTGTGTGTGTGTGTGTGTGTATACACTCACTTTTGTGGTAAAAATATAATTATAGTACAATTAATATGACTATAAATTTCAATATATGTTAAATATACTCAGAGATCCAAATATAAATAAAGCAAAGTACAGGATAGATAACAGAAAGTAAGGAGATAGTTCTTTCTCCAATAGGAAGGAGATCAAAAGATGGAGGGAGATGGGAGGAAGAGCAGGGAAAGGGGATAAACAAGAAATTAAAATGTGTTATGTACATGCACCAATGTTCCAAAAGGAATGTAAGCGTTATCTTCTGCCAACATGAACCAATAAAATTTATAAAAATATTATATACATAAATTAAATCAACCATTTTTAAAGCTAATAATTATCTCCATTCAAAGTTCAGTGATGAACCAGGCACGGGGAGCACGCCTGTAATCCTGGCACTCAGGAGGCTGAGGCAGTAGGATCGCTTTGAGTTCAAGACCAGCCTCGGCTACATAGTGAGTTTCAGGTCAGTATCAACTACATAGTGAGACGCTGTTTCAAAACACCAAAAAAAAAAAAAATTCAGTGATGATGACAAAGATATAAATACTTTTGTCAATTTCTTAAATTAAAAAATGTGCAAAATTCTGATTATGTGATTGTACATATATATGTTTATCCATATGGATATATATGTGTGTGTAGAATTTGAATATTCATATATGTATGCATTTTATAGTATATTCATTATATATGCATAATTTAAACATATTTATGCAATATACTACCCAGTGCTACTGTTGAAATTGAGTTACCCCTACCAGAACTGTCAGATGACACCATGCAAGACCTTTATCTGAGGTACAATCTTAGATAGAGAATAGGCAAAAGAAAGGTGGAATGGGGAAAATAATAAGCAATGTTTCAGAGAAGTAGGACTAAGCAAAACTCTATTCTCAAATTATTTGATCAGACTACGTTTTAAAAAACTGGTATTTTTACATCGATATTTTAACTTAAGCAATTTTAGGATAGATAACATTATACTGTACCACATTAGCTCCTTTATTTGAGCTCTTTGGGATTAATCAGCTACCATGAGTAGGGACCTGAACTCCAAGAATTGTGTTGATAGCTTTTGGTTGGAATAACTCTATGGGGGTTGCTGCAAGTTCTCATTTGAATCTTCCTCACCAAGGCAGGCTTGGTGGCACATGCCTACAATGCCAGTACTTGTAGAAGTTGTAGAATGATTGAAAGTTAGAGCTTAGGTGACTTAGTGAGTGAAGCGCTGTCTCAAAATGTATCAATCAATCAATCAATCAATCGCAAGCCTGGGTATTTAGCTCAGTGGGAAGACCCTCATTTCAATTCTAGTACTGGAAAAAAAACAATCAAACAAAATTCCTTCAGCCCTTAAATTTTTGATAGCCATATATATGTGAGTTTCCATTAAGGATTTCAGAACTGGCTGAATAATTGGTGAGACTCAGTGCAAATTGAATAAACTAGGCTTCTTGTTAAAAATTAAGGAGGTATAAGATGGTTGACATCAGAGCATTAAATCAAGAGCAGTAACTTTCTGAATTAGAGTCTTCCATAACTGCATATATCACATGCTCATGAAGCTAACCTTGAGTAAGGCTGTAAATAAAGATAAATAATGCTGAATGTATTCTGACTTAAATAAACAATTAGGGTAGAAATGATAAATCTTCCTTTCAAAATCATTTTACAAAATATGTATTAGTACTCTATACTGCAACAGGTAACAACTATTGCTCCCAACTCCCACCACCAGGCCTAAACTGGAATTGGTGACCTCCAGAGGAAAGAAGATGTCATAACTGTAATGGTGGAGAAATGACTGGAACAAGCTGATCAAGGCTGATAACATCACCAAGTCATGCTCATCTTATGGATCCTGTATGTGATACAAGGTGCTTCACCGTATGTGGCATGATTTCCCTAAACCTATAACCTCAAAGTAATCATGAGACATGCATCAGACAAAATTACGCTTATGGAGTTCATCTAAACTTGTTGCTTGAAACTGTCAATATCAAACCACACAAGGAAAAGCAGAATTATCACAAATTTGAAGAGATTATGGGACAATAAATAAATAAATAAAATACATAAATAAATAAATAAAAAGAGATTATAGGACAAGATGCCTAAATGGAATGTAGGATTCTTGGAAAAGATACCAGTAAAGAACATCATGAGAAAATCACAAGCCTAAATTAATTTTTTTAGTGAATACTAATATGTAATATTGGTTTTGTAGTCATCACAAATGGACCATTGTAATAAACAATGTTAATAGTAAAGGTAAATGGATAAGCAACACATGAGGATTCTCTGTACTATCTTTGTAATTTTTTTAAACAGAAAATTATTCCAAAATCAAAAGGTCATTCAATAAAAATGATCCAGATTTGGGAATTAATTATACAAGATATATGCATTGACCTGGAGTAGTGAGAATGCATCTTACACTACATCATCAACAGCAGGCAAAATTACAAGGGACTCTGTAGTGTGCACCTTGTGATAATATTCCTGCCAAACGTTTCACATCAGGTTCAGAGAATCCTGCGTGTTCGCTAATTTGGCTACTGAATTCTACTGCTAGAAGAATCACATTTGTCTCCATGATCCATTAATGCCAAGTATTTTCAGAAAAAAATTATTAGAAAGGGTGCTTTGATAAATCAGTACCACTTATTTAAATTCTTTTTGATTTATATATCAGAAATCACAAGGGAGTCTATCACTAAAGAATATTTTGAAAAATCTGCTGACAGGTTGATTAAATTTCAATTAAATTTGTTGTTAAACAAAACAACAGGTAAAACATGTTTTATTCAGTCATTTAGGGCCATTTATTTTCACAATTTCTTTAAAACAAAATCGCTTTACTGAAGCTCTAAATTATAATTTTTTTAGAAGCACCTCTTAGGATTGAATATCCCAAGAAAGAACTAAAAAACATTGAGCATACAGTTTGCCTCAGCATATCTTTGTAAATACAGTTGATTTTATAAATTTCTTTGACATTAGTGAAGAAGAAGAGAATGATTTTATATTCATTTTAAATGAATTGTTTGCCCTATAAGTTGATGATCAAAGGGTTACCTCAATGTCAAAATAATAAGTGAAATCAGGCAGATTTTCCTTAGAAAGGGTGGGGATGTAGCTCCGTGGCCCAGCACCTGCCTGGAAAATACTAGGTCTTGAGTTTGATTCCCAATACCAAAAACAAAAACAAACAGAAAGATTTTTCTTAGAAATAATAAAACTTCATTTTCTTAAGTTTAGATAAATGTATCAGTATGTATTTGGAAGTATACTATGAAATACATAAAGTGATTAGATACATGTTTTATGAAAAGCTAACATAAAACAATGAAGATATAATTATATTCACTTATATTTTAATTTATAAGAAAAGTCAATCCATAACATTCTAACTTAATAATAATAATATATTTAGTTAAATTTGATTAACTATGAAATATAAAAAGCTTTTATCACTTAATAACCTATTATTTATTTATTTTTTGTTTGTTTGTTTTGGTCCTGGGGATTGAACTCAGGTCCTTGGGTTTGCAAGGCAGGCCCCTGAACCCCTGAGCTAAATCCCCAGCCCCAATAATTTATTATTTCAATATATACAAATTTCCTATTTTGGCAATTTGGAGGAATATAAAGTAGTAATCATTGGTAAAAATGAGAGATAACACCGCTGTTATTTTAATAATCTCATTAGATTTTCCTTATGCATTTAATGAAATAAAATATATATTGCTAACACAATTGGTTTAGCAGTTATCATGTGATCTTGTTTTTAGTGAATAGTATATAGAAAATGATTAGCATTTATAAAGATGAATTATGAGGATTGACTCTAATTACAATCTTTAATATACTTTGATCAAACACATTTTAACTCTTACTAAATATTTCACTGAAATTTTATAAGAAAGTGTGTGAAAAGTTATAAAATGAAAAATAAAAATGAGTTGTCTTTGAAAATATCCCAGTGCCAATTAAACATATTAGAATCATTAAACTGTTTTTCTTTCAAGCTAATTATGGCCCAAGGGATGAGAATAATGGAGAAGAAAAATTGCTTATACTGTAATATGGGCCAAGCGCCATACTTGAAAATTTAGTATGGTTTGCTAGCATTCATTTTTCTTTGTTCTCAGAGGATACTCCAACATCAAAATTTATTCTTTGACAATCATTACATACTTAGTAGATGAACATGGCCATTACTTTTGTAGACATTTTAAATATGTTTCATTTTAGATGATTCTCACAAGATTCCTAATTACCCATTTAAAATGCCATATTTTACCTTTAACAGAAAAAGAAAAAAAAATATATATATAGGAAAGGAGATATAAAATCTTGCAAAAATGTTTTATATCTGACTACTTAAACATTTTCCAAAAATTCTTTGCTTTATGATATAGAATTTTAACTCTCATAAATATTAATATCATGCTTTATATATGTGCACATTCATAACGCTGCATGTAATGGCCAAAATTCAATACTAAGGCGGTATTTTTGTTACAGTGATCTAACTTTGTTCAGCTTCTCTGCAGCTGCCTCACTTTGGAAACTGATTTCAGTTGTCCTGAGGTCCTGAGTTATAGGATCCTACATTATCTTTCCATAGGAAAGCAGTATAAGCAGGAGAAAAGCAGCCATAATTTTCTAGTTATTTAAGATTACAGGATATATTATCTCTGATAGTGGCCTAGTTCAGCTGTCTAATTTAACGCCTGCACTTTAGATTACAGTATTTGCCTACATTTTGAAAAAAGTAAAACTCATATTTGCCATTCCATTAAATATAGTATATTCTGCTTTCTGTGTCTGGCTCATTTACCAAATAAGAGAATTATTGTTTTAACTTTAACTCTAATGTATATTGTCTAACAAGAATAATATCACAAATGCCCATACAAATAATCACGAATGCAAAGGCCAAGAACAACAACATATTGAAATCTTAATTGCAACAGTATATTCTTTAAAAATATCACGTATTATGTTTGAGTTCTTTTTCCAGTACTTGGGATTGAATGCAGAACCTTCTGCTTGCAAGGCAAGTGAGTGTCACTGAGCTAAATCCCTAGTCCCTGTATTTGATTTTTTAGAATTATCTTTAGAAGATCATCTTGATTTTATTTCAGATCTGAAATCTGTGAATTTAAGATTATTCTTTCTACTTAATTGACAGATTAATAACAATCACCATCAATGAAATATTTGTGTTGGCCCGTATAGGAGGAGGGCCAGCGTTTACGACACTGTGGTCTAGTGGGAAGCAGTTAGCTACTGGAGAACATGATCTTGAAGGGGACACCGGTCTCTTCCCTCTTCATCTTGGAATTTACTTGCTGGCTGCAATGAGGTGAG